GGAGCTGAACGTGAGGCTGAAGTTGCTAGCGGAGCTTGTAGCACCATAATGCCCTGGAAAGGATTGATCTCGATGAGATCGGCAGTCCCTTGAGGGATGAGTTTGACGAGTGCGTGGTCATGCTGGAGATTCGCATGATACGGGAGTTAAACAAGCGGCAGCCCGCAATGCTACCATGCTCAATGCAAAGGCGGCCACGCCTGCCGGAGTTAAAGCTTCCTGAGTTCAGTGGGGGCTACGCTCAGTATTCCTCGTTTTGGAGCATGTTTTTCTCCATAATAGACAAGGATACCGATTTGTCAAATGTGGAGAAGCTGCAGCACCTGCGTTCCTGCCTGAAAGGACCAGCACTAGACACTATTTCGTCTCTAGAGTTCACGCACGCCAGCTATCCCATTAGGCTAGACCTCCTTGATAAGCGTTTTAATAACAAACGTTTAATTTTTCAGGCGCATGTCACGGACACGCAAGCCAAGTGGGAGGAAACGTCATCGCTGGACAGCATACCCACAAGCCAACAATTCACCGCATTTCTGGAGCAAAGATGTCAGAAGTTGGAGAATCGGGAGCACGCTATGGCAATGTATACGCCTGTCATTCAGGTGGGAAAGATTAAAAAAGTACAGAGCAACACTAGAAGTTCATTTGTAGCCACTGAGTCTGTTTCTCTTGAGTGTCTATTTTGCAATACTGCTGGCCATAGTATATATACATGCGCGCTGTTTGGGAATCTTTTGCCGTCCCTTCGCTTAATTGAGGTGAAAAAGCTTGGTCTTTGCCTGAATTGCCTGAAGGCTGGCCATCAATTGCGCACTTGCAGGTCATCAGCTTGTCGTCACTGTGGTAGCAAACATCACACTTTATTGCATTTAAACGCCAGACCCTCGCCCACGGAACCCGTTGTCTCTTCATTCCCGCACCTTGAAGCGCAGCCACAGTCCTCAGCAGCCTCTCTGGTTGCACAGAACTCCTGCAGGGATGTGGTGCTCTTAGCCACTGCAGTTGTTCTGCTGAGGGATCGTGCTGGATCGCTCGTACCATGTCGGGCACTCTTGGACTCCGGATCACAAATGCACCTTATAACCTCCAGCCTCGCCCAACAACTTAGACTGAACGAGAAGGAACGTGCGAGTCGCTTCTGGGGACGCGACTCTACTTATACCCGTACTCAGTCAGCATATACATTTTTGAGCATATGATTTTTTAGAATTTTATAATTAAAAATAAAAATTTTACATTTTACATTTTTTTGCTACATCTTTTATCTACATCTACATATATTATGTATATTCTACATCTAACATGTAGATTATACATGTACCATTTAGATTCTACATCTCCTCCGCTAGGGGTTGCTCGCGCACTGAACGCGGCAGAGTGTGCGAGCGAGAAGGAAAATGAGTTGTGTTGTCGTGGGCAGGAGGGGGCAGGGGAAGCGACTGAAAATTAATTTCTTCATTCTGGCTATAATTATGATCTGATCTGATTCAGATTCGGCAGTCTGGTAGATATGGGCCTTTCACAGATTTTCGTCCTTTGTGGCGGCAGAAGGGGGCGGGGCGAAATTTTGAAATACACTTCGAGCAGTGTTATATCACATGAGTGTGGAAACCAAACTTGGTTGCCCTAGCCCTTATAGTCTCTGAGATCTAGGCGCTCAACAAGACGGACAGATAGACGGACAGACAGACAGACACACAGACGGACAGACAGACATGGCTATATCGACTCGGCTATTGATGCTGATCAAGAATATATATACTTTATGGGGTCGGAAACGTTTCCTTCTCTGCGTTACACACATCCACTTTTACCACAAATCTAATATACCCCTTAACTCTTTTTTGAGTACGGGTATAAAAACGAAACACCAATTTGCCAATTGGCAGTGGAAATTGCCAAATAATTACTATTAGTGCGCCGTGCCACTAACCATACAGTATACACTCAGCTGCGCCCCTGTCGTTGTATGAACTGGCACATCTATATACTGTATGGTTAGTGGCCGTGCCTTGGTCGCGAGTAATTTATTTGGAAAGTGGAGAATGTTGGAGTTGGGGTAGCGGTCGAGAAAAGTGGCTGGAGTGCACGAATTGTACGAAATCTCGAATTTAATATTAAATTTGGCACTTGCGCGGAATATGTATGTAGTGTATGTGTGTGCAGTATTTATATATTTGGTATATTGGTATATTTATGCGGGGTGTAATAATTGGATGTACATTTATAGTCGGCAATATGGAATTTGCGGCCAACTATGGACATAAATATATGAATGTATGAGTAAATGTAGGTATGTGGACAGGTACAGGAATAAAACACTTAATTTTAATTGTAGTTGCACTCGGAATGTGCCAGTGTATATTTTTATTGGGGTGGGTCGTGCATGGAATGCACTTGGAGAGACACGGATGTAGGTGTGTTTGTATGTCCGCAAGCCGCTCTCATGGGCTGGAATGTGCGTACATACATATGCTCGGAATGCACTTTTTAATTAATTTTTAATTATTTAATTTGTCCGCGAATAATGGACAGACACAAGGAATTGAAGAACTACCGTATCACTGGTAGTTGGAGATGAACGAAGAGAGAACGGCCGGAATCGCCGATGATATGGCTTTGTCGAAAAAAGAAGAGACACGGATAACGGATGGCACAGAATGAGGAAATAAGTACATGTATAAGAATATATATATGTACTTATATCGCGGAACTCGGACTTTTCGGAATTTTGGAACACAAATCGCGAATGGATGGGATTTGTGGCACACGAAAATCGTACTTATCTTGGCATCCTGGTGGTGAAGGCGATGCCGTGCTCGAAGGCTGAATATGGTTGGGGAAGGCGAAGTATATCCGGCTCGATGGACCAATGTTTGAGCGAAGAGGCGTCGCGAAGTCCCACAGTTGATTTCCAAAAGATAAAGACGAGAAAGCGAGTTCCAATTTCTTCACAGTTTATTCGTAGGGTTAATTGTAGTATAAATATGTATATGTGTATCGCGTGCAAAAGACGGCCGTTTTGCTTGGGGTGGAAAAGCGAATTAATTACAGATCGGTGGCGCTTAAGCTGCCGAGGGCTGTCGGCCGCGAAAGCGGGAGCGTGGGCGTGGGCGGGAGCGCAAGCGTGGTGAGTATGCGCGCGAGAGCGCGTCGCCGGGGGGAAAAATGCTCTTAAGTACGATGGCGAGAGCGATGGCGAGAGCGAGGGCGAGAGCGAGGGCGACCGCTTGTGTAGCTGGAACGCTAACAGCGATGTGTGGCTGGAATGCCCACAGAGCGGTTGCCCCGCCAGCGCCGTCTTCACTCTGAACAATTGCTATTGAAGACCTTTGCTTGATGATGGCAAGCAAAGCATTAGCTCAATTAGGTATGACGGCGCCTAATCGTGATATAGACGACCTTTTCAACAAAGAACTGGAGCGTGAACAGCAGTATGATCGTGCCGAGCTTAATGCGTTAGTGCAAAATAATGAGCCACGGTTAAATAAACTACTCGACAAAATCGAACTTTTTTTTTCCTCAAGGATCCAAACCGACTTTTTCTGATAGATATGGGGATTTCAAAATTTTTAAAGAATTATGGTTTTTTTCTATGGCAGAACCTTTTTTTTGAAGAATTTTTGAAGTCTGTTATTTTTTTTTTTAAGCTTTTTTCAAAGTTAGCGCTTGTTTTTTTCACATAGCTCTAGTATCTTACGTCTGGTTGTAAAGAACTTTACTATTTTGAAAAGATAATTAAAACAGCTAGAAGTTAAGCCCAAACACTTTGTGATTACAGCTTACCGTCTGGGAAATATGAAGCATTGAAATGCAAAAATTATGATTTATGTGCGGTATTTTTTACGAAATTTTGACTTTAAAAACTCAGGAAAAGTCGAAAAAAAATTATACCCAATTCCCAGTTGGGCCCGCAACCATCGAAAAGGTATTTTTTGTTCATTTTTTTCAATTTTTAGGTTTGGTTAACGAATTTTAGCTCCAAAGACTTAGATCATAGATCATAGATCTATCATAGATTTTAATGAGCGATACCTTGAACGACGCCATATTAATGCACCTATACACAAAAAAATAGAGGACACTCTTCGACTTTTCCTGAGTTTTTAAAGTCAAAATTTCGTAAAAAATACCGCACAAAAATCATAATTTTTGCATTTCAATGCTTTATATTTCCCAGACGGTAAGCTGTAATCACAAAGTGTTTGGGCTTAACTTCTAGCTGTTTTAATTACCTTTTCAAAATAGCAAAGTTCTTTACAACCAGACGTAAGATACTAGAGCTATGTGAAAAAACAGCGCTACCTCTGAAAAAAGCTTTAAGAAAAAATACCAGTTTTCAAAAATTCTTCAAAAAAAAGTTCTGCCATAGAAAAAAAAATATCATCAAACCATTTCTAAGCCCCAAATCTTTAAGAAAAAGTTCGTTTTGTTCCTTGAGGAAAAATCGTGTTGACTAGTGTAATCGGCTTTTCTCACCCCTTTCCCGCGGTTTCTTTTGTTTCATCTCTTCTTTTGCGCGTGCCAATGCATCAATACCCTTTCAATAAGGTACATTGATTTTTTATCAGCTAGGTAATATAGACATAAAAGTTGATAAACATGATTTTGTAAACTTATTTTTACATTTTTATAAAAGTTTTTTATTTAAACATGGTAACAATAAAATCTATATAAACAAATTTTATTTTTACTATGATTAAATAATAGACCATAATGAGAATGTAATTTTTACAAGGTTACCAAACAAATACCAATTAAACTATTATTTTTTTTTATTTCCAAACATATCATTGCGCTCAAAATTTTAAACATTTAAAGAGTATACAAATTCGGTGGGTAAAAAAAAAATTTCGGTTTTTTTTTTCCACTAACAAATTGCATTGACTCTGACAAAATAGAACGGTGAGAAGGAGACGAAATGAGCGAGAGTAGAAGAGTTAGGGTCGAATGCAGGTAGAGAAAACTAAAAATATGAGAGAGAGAGGGAAATCTATGGATATCTGCTTCTCTTTCTTACGAGTCAGCTTCGATCTCTAGCAGTTGAAGCTGGTCAGAATTTCATGCTGACGTCGACGTCGCTGCCTTTGTCGACGTCGAGCCCGAACAATTTTTCCTATGACACTTTCATGCCGTGACAGCCAGAACTGCAGGGACGTGACTTCAGGCGTCTCAAAATTATCAGCATACACACATACACAGCTCTTTAGTAGTTTTGATATTAGGAATTTAGTTTAAACGCGATTAAAAATACTTGGTGACTGGGCCCATAACCTGTTGGTTTATCTAATATTCTGAGTAATAATTAAGACGGTTTGTGTAATACTTTTAAATGTTTCTTTAATGTTCTTTTCGTATATATAGCCGCGGCTTGCATGCGCACAGTTCAGAGTCAGAGATAGAAGAGAACAATCAAACTAAAGAGATGGCCTATCGCCAATTCCACCTATCGATACATATCGATGAGATCTTTGTCTCTTTTGTATGTAACACACTGGTTACTTCAACACACCTCCTCAAAAGATACATAGATCTAATATTTATAACAATGAAGAATATAACTTATATAGCAGCAAGCCGAGCATTCTGGGAGTTACAAACTACAGTCCAACATTTGTTGCAAAGGGTTGGGGAAACCCCAGAAAAACCCAACCAGACCATATTACTTAAATATTATAAATTTACAAATTATACATTAATTCATCTTTACAAAATCAAAAATAATAAAAAAATTGTACTATTCATTAGTATGTTGAGATCAAAAGGTAGTTTAAACAAGCTTCATCAGTTTATAAGTCCCAGTTGTTCTCGCAGGTAGACGAATCGAGGTCCAGGCAATGGCTTCGTCAAAATATCCGCCAGTTGTTTATCTGTGGAAATATACTTAACACAAATTAGTTTTTGTTCAATTTGCTCTCTTGAGAAGTGATATTTAATATCAATATGTTTTGTTCTTTTGTGGCATGTGGGATTATTAGCAATACTAATACAACCTTGGTTGTCTTCAAAAACATTTATAGGCTCATTAAATTCTAATCTAACACTTTTAGCTAAAGACTTTAACCACATAGCTTCTCTCGTAACCTCAAATAATGCCATATACTCAGCCTCAGTAGATGAAGCTGCAACTGAATTTTGCTTTCTTGTATTCCAGCAAATAAGGGATGAACCAAACATTTTAAACAAATAACCCGTTGTACTCTTTCTATCATTTTCATTTCCAGCCCAGTCAGAATCAACGTATCCAGCAAAAATATTTGCATGATTTATACTTATTACAAAAGTTAGCTTAAGATTGTTTGTGCCTTTCAAATATCTTAAAACTCTTTTAAGGCATTGCCATAGTTCTTTATTATTTTTACTGGTATATCTACTTAAAATTCCAACAGCTGTGCTCAAGTCAGGGCGAGTACAAAACATTATGTACATTAAACATCCAATTACATTCCTACAAGGAGCATTATATATTTCATCGGAATTTAATGCTTCATAATTGAGTTTACTTGTTAGTGGAGTACTAACTGGGTTGCAATCATCCATGCTAAATTTCTTTAAGACATTATTAATGTATGCAGACTGACTAAGTTCTAGTTTATGAATTGGGAGTACTGGTGGCTTATCTTTAAGCCTTTCACTTTTTCGTACTTCAGGTTTTGCTTCCAAACTACAATTTTGGAAACAAGGCTTGTCTTTTTCCTTACTCTCATTCAGGACATGACTGTGACTATTTCCCATACTTTCATTCTGGGCATCAACATCATCTGTACTATCATTCGAGACTTCAAAATTTATATTTCCCATACTCTCATTCTGGGTCTGAACATTTATATTTCCCATACTCTCATTCTGGACAACAATACCATCCATACTGTCATTCTGGATCTGAAAATTAATATTTCCCATACTCTCATTCTGGGCAACAATACCATTCATACTGTCATTCTGGATCTGAACATTGATATCTCCCATACTCTCATTCTGGGCAACAATATCATCCGTACTTTCATTCGGAATCTCTGAAACGTTTCCGACCCCATAAAGTATATATATTCTTGATCAGCATCAATAGCCGAGTCGATATAGCCATGTCTGTCTGTCCGTCCGTCTGTCCGTCCGTCCGTCCGTCCGTGTGTCCGTCTTGATGAGCGCTTAGATCTCAGAGACTATAAGAGCTAGAGCAACCAAATTTTGTTTCCAGACTCATGTAATATCACACTGCTACAAGTGTATTTCAAAATTTCGCCCCGCCCCCTTCCGCCCCCATAAAGGACGAAAATCTGTGGCAGGAACATTTTTAAAGAGACGATAAAACTAAAAACGCAGTATCGTAGAAAATGACCATATCTACCAGATTGCCGAATCTGAATCAGATCGGATCATAATTATAGCCAGAATGAAGAAATGAATTTTCTGTTGGTTCCCTCTCCTTCTCCAGCGCTGCTGACGCTACTGATTCTCTTTCTCGCTCGCACACTCTGCCGCGTTCAGTGCGCGAGCAACCCCTAGCGGAGGAGATGTAGAATATGAATGGTACATCTATAATCTACATGTTAGATGTAAAATATATATACATTGTAGATGTAGATAACAGATGTAGCAAAAAAATTTAATATGTAAAATTTTTGTTTTTTCTAAAATTCTTAAAAATCATAAGCTCAAAAATGTATATACTGACTGAGTACGGGTATAAGAAGAGTCGCGTCCCCAGAAGCGACTCACACGTTCCTTCTAGTTTTTTTTTATTCTAAAAAATCATTAGCTCAAAAATGTATATACAGACTGAGTACGGCTATAAGTAGAGTCACGTCCCCAGAAGCGACTCACACGTTCCTTCTCGTTAAACTTAGCAAATGGTAATCTGGCTTGCTTTCCATTAACGCAAGCTTCACATAAATCATTACCAAATACAATGTTATTTAACAAATTTATATCTTCACACATATTGTTTCTCTTTAATTCTATTAATTTTCCCTTGCGAATATGTCCCATTCGCTCATGCCAAAATTGATACATATTTAAATTATTTTTATTAGTTATATATGCTCGATTGCATAGTTCAAATTCTATAACGGGAACATCATAAAAATACGTACTTTTAAAAATAACGGTCACACCTCCTGCCGAAAACACAATCTCCATACCAGCATCTTGCATTTTCTCAACCGAAAGAAGATTCTGAGGAATGTGCTCGCAGAACAGCACGTTCTCGAGGGTGATTTTTGATTTTTGGTCACTCTGTAGCTCCATAGTACCTTTGGCTGTTGCCTGTACGTACTCGGCGCATTTGGCGATTGCGATCTCAATTGGCCGCTCCAAATCCTTGCAATTCAGCAACAGACTTTTTGTATTTACCATATGGTCAGAAGCGCCTGAGTCCAGGATAAACGAAATGGAGTTCACATTTTTTGTTCGGTACATTGACGACCCTTTTTAGCATAAAGGCAATGTGTCTGTCTGGGTGGTGTGCATTGGCCGTGTGAGCTTGCCTGCCATTTTCATTTATATTATTTGTGGAATTATTATTATAATTCTTTTGCCCCCCTTTGAAACTGAAACAGTCCTTTTTAATATGTCCCATTTTATTACAGAAATGGCATTTCAGATTTGCTCTTTTATTCATTTTGTTCTTAAAATTGTTTTTGTTTTTGAAGTTATTACTTGTATTGAATTTATTTCCTTATAACCATCATTTCGTACGGCTTGTAAAACTTTGAAACTGGTATCTTTCTTAGAACTTTTGAATGTTATTTCCAGATATAATTCTTGAGCGATGAATCGGCTGGACGCTAAACTTTTGCGCTCATATATGTTGTCCAAATTTTTGAGAATTTCCTGCGAGGTACACCCTTTGGTTACAAAACTGAGAAATGAATCTCCTAAATATTCGATAATTAAACTTTTCGCGACTCTTTCGGCCTTTTGCCACTGATCAGTTTCTTCATCTGGTTTTTCCCGGTCGATCACCTTTAGGACATCATTTTCGGACAAGAGCGCTCTTATTCTAAACTTCCAGATCGAATAGTTTTTACCGTCGAAAAGTTGTATGTTCCTTTTTATTTTATCCATTTTATTTTATTATTCAGTTTGGCTTCGCACAACTACACACACACACGTCGTCCAATTTCTGCAAGACTGTACACATACAAGATCTTTGAGTATGTACACACGCAAATGCATACAGCAGGCGTCGTCGTCCCACATACAAATTTTGAAAAAATGCGGTTCTGGAAATTTCCGCGTGGTAACACACGAACACAATTTTCGTGTAAGCATCGCTGACACACACACACTAGCTTTGCAATAGTAGTGCGGTTCTGTAAATTTCTGCGTGTGCACATATATGTACATACAATTTTTGGGCAAGCGTCGACAGGTTTTTACAAAATTTCCAGGAAATATATATGTATATACTCACGCACAATTGAGATTTACTTAGGATTTCCAGCCAGGCTTCGCTTCATCTCCAGAAATGCGTTCGTGTATGCACACATATGCAATAAGTTGCATACCCCTGCAGTTCCAAAAGTCACTTTTCACTCGTGATTCATTCGGTGAATCACTCATGGCATGTCCTCTGCCACTGGTGACTCACTGGTGAAACTCCAGATGCAATTTGTATGGACATGTCCGCTTTTGTCACTCGTGAAACTTCATATGAAATTTGCACTGAATATTCTAGTGATTTCACCGGTGGCTTATACGTATAAGCCATGAGTGAAATCACTCGAGTGATTCACCGGGACATGCCACGAGTGATTTCACCGGGACATGCCATGAGTGATTTCACTTGGGCCATGCCACGAGTGATTTCACTTGAGACACTTCCAAAAATGTCCTATATGAAATCACACGCGACATTTCTCATGAATATTAAAAAATGTCACGGTTAATTTAAATTTTAAAGCTACGTACAAGCTCTTTAAACAACATCATTTAAATACGACTAAAAATTTTTATTCTAAAGTTTTTCTTAATTATATTGTTTTTTTATATTTAAAATCGCCTACCTTATGGTGCTATCTGCCGACTCGATCGGATTATGCATCCGCAAGGCTCCTGAAACTAAAAAAAAATTATAAGTTTTATATTTTAAATACGTTTTATTTCTTTTTATTAAAACGAATTAATGAATTGTTAGACATTCTTAACTTTTATTTCGTCTTACTTGTTAAAACCGAATAGAGCCCAGCCCGGGATCGCAGACTTTTTTTCCGCAAGTCCCGTCGAGGTTGTATCCTCTCACAACCTGCTCGTCCAACACACTTTTCAGGCACCTCGACAATGGCTCCTTCTCCAGAAGCTTCCAAACTTGTTTGATCTGTAAATATATACAAAATCATGTAAATAGCTTTAAGTCGTTTAAGATAAAGTAATATTGTAATTTTTATGGCGCATGTAGCTTCCCTCCTTGTTCCGTACTTACGTAAACATCTTTTAGCTGAGGGGTCATGAGCTCCACAAACATATCGAGCTCCTCCTCTGTTTTTATTGGGAACGTTATTGCCCCTGGGACTACCTGCTCTCCCTTCACCTGCACTTTAACGAGAGCGGCTACTTCGGCGAGTTTGTCCGCCATAACATCAACTTTCTCCATCAATAGACGGTTCTGGTCCCGGAGGAGCTGCATCTCTTCTGAAATATGAAAAAATATATATTAATGAATTATTTTGATAAATGGACAGTTTATATATACACTGATAAAATAATGGAACAGTAAACATAGATACTTTGTATATTGAATAAAAAAAGACATTTAATATTTTAATTAAATATAAAATTGAGTAAATGCGGTAAGTGTATTAAATAATGTATATTAATATGTTTTGTATTTAATATTGTTTTTTATATTTAATTAAAATATTAAATATGTCTTTTTTTATTCAATATACAAAGTATCTATGTTTACAGTTCCATTAGTTTATCACTGTAGGATTGGAAACATACCTTTCAGCACGGAAATTATTCTTTCATCACGTAATGGCTCTTCTGTAACAACATTTTTTTTATTAATACAGATATCGTTTAAAGGGTATGTAGACTTACCATTCTCACCGAAGTCCATTCGCCTAATTTTGAAAGGTGGCTGAGACATACTAAATAGATCAAATACAAAATTATAAAACAAGGTATTATATGTATGTATAGCTAAATTTAACTATTAGCTAAGGTCCTAACGTTTTTTTTTTTTTTGGTGGTGAACCATGGCAGGTGAATCTTCGAAAGATATTTAAAGCCCCGTTGCAATAAATATGCCCGATTCGCAATGAAATTACGCCTACGGACTAAACACCTCCATATAAAAACAATAAATTAATTAATCAAACCTATTAATCCTATGAAAAATGCAGGCAAGGAGCTAAAACTATTTTTCCCTTATAAGGCATGGCTACTGCTTTTCTTTTAAAGTCTCCTACTAAAAACCTTTGAATGGAACAAGGCGCTTCTAGACTAACTAAATATATACCTAGGCTAGTCGACCTTAAAGGTTCATTAAAAAAACTTCCTATATCTTTTAACTCCCTACCTATTATAAAAATCGCTCCTAGTTCCTCTTCAAATGACTCTATTTGGATTGGTATCTCGTCTCTGACAAAACAAAAATTATCTGGTTCCCTATCGCTAAGGGTACAGTCGTTAATTTTTAGAACCCTGCCTACTAATTTAACTTCTTCCCTTTCTGGAGCTACATAACTTTCTTCGACTGTTTTCCTATCAATTTGTTCTAGGATATGCGTAGGCTTTCGGACAACTTTCTTAAGGGTCTGTAAGTAATTCTCAAACGCGTAAGAAGATCCTGAAATCGGGTTCCCGATTTGTTTTACAGTCTCTCTTACATGGAGTAAGCCGTGAACATTGTAGGACACACTGTTTTCGCCAAAAATAATAGGAAAATTTTTAACAAAAAGATTTAACATTTGTTGAGCAATCTCAACATTATTTTCCCGTTGTTTTTGCGAGCAGAGCAGTCTATATGCACAGTGTAATAACAAAAATACATAATACTGCTCCTCATGGATTGTATCTTTAAAAGCTACAATTCCAGTGTACAATAAAAATTGCCTAAACTCGGTGCTTTTCCAGTGAGGAAGCTCTAGCAATGTCCTCGGCTTTCGTGCAAATTCCCTAGGTATACAACCTCGCAATGACGCTAATATTTCAGAAATATTTAGTTTATTTTGTTTAAAAATTTTATTTATTACTTTATTATGGTAAATTCTATCTAAAAACTTACGCATTACACCTAGCTCAATAAGATGCATGCAATCTAAAGGAACTTGGGTTATCATACGATCGCCAAGTTTTTCAAAAGCGGACTGAACCCTAAAGTAATCATTGTTATGTTGACTTGGGTACTTTCGGTTTAAAAAAGCTTCATCTGTTATTAACTCTGCACAACGAGTGCTGTAAGTTAAGGTCGAATCCACTTTATATGCTACCTGTAAGCACTTGGTACAGCCGTGACTGGATGTATGTCCAGGTGTACCTGTAACAAATGCCCTTGCAGGAGCATCGCAAACCACCGCTCGAAGTTCAAGGTTAATTTTTTTATTTAAAATGGTAAATCCATTTTTCATAAGATCGGATAACTCACTAGAGAATTTGGACAAATATTCGGTTGAATTGAAAGGCTTATTGTGACCAGCAAAAATACCTGTTGGTAACACCGAACATTTATTTATATTATTTAATCTAACTAAAATGGGCCACAATTGCGAACGAGAGCTTTTAAATAAGGGAAGACCTTCAACATTAATGTCAATGCTCAGTACGTCGGGTAGTTTTGCAACAACAGATAGTTTTTTTAATTGCTTTAATAGGCCGATATGCAAATATGAACCACCTCCTATTTGCATAACATCTGGCTTTTTACTGCAATTAAATTTATAAAAAGGCTTTACATGTAAGCCTTCCGAATTCAAAATTTTAATCAATTCCAAAACACAACTACGCTTGGGCTTGTGCTTGACAAACCACTTTTTTAATTTTGAAGTTAAATCTTCATTATCTGTTTCTACCTCCATGACTTCTATATATTCCTGATCTACTTCTGTATTTGCCTGCTCTACTACGATATCTTACTGATTAAAATTATCTAACACCTGTGAGTCAATCGGTCTTTCTTCGACTGCTCTTAGCTTTTCAGCTAGTTGATCCCTTTCCCTTTTCACTAATCTACGAATTTGACGAGAACCAACCATTTTGCCTATCTAAATTAATAAAAAAATGAATATTTATTTATTGAGACCTGTAAGTTTAAAAATTTATTGATCATTAATAAATAATACATTAAGTATATTAAGTATATATATATTAAAACATTAAACATTGAGTTTGCAATAATTTCCACTTTTCCATAATATTTGACTTCTAAGTAAATTTCAATACAAATTATTAAACAAAAAAAAAAATTATTAACCAAAAAAACTTTTGAAAAACACGAAAAAAAAAAATAATATTTTATCTATTAATTTTCCTATCACTGTATATATTTGTATGAGTGTTAAACCTGATTTTAAATCAAAAGAACTCGAATTTTATGGAAAAGTAAAAAATGTTTCTGCAAATGGTAGTGGAAAATGTACATATAAAACCACCTTATCTTGGTAAAAATAAATTTGTGACGAAATATGCTTGTTTAAGTGTTCATTCAAACACACAAAATATTGTGTTTTTTTTTCAAAAATTATTTTGTATGATTAACACAATTGATTTTAATATTTTTGTGGTTTTTAAATACATTTTAATTGTCGTAATGTAGGAAATGTTAATTGCAAACTGCTATTTCTTTGCACACAGCTGTATGTAACACAAACAACAACATTTTCGTCACAAATTGTTTAACTTTCACCGAGTTTAATGGATTTTTATATACACATAAGTCAACTTCACAAATGCCACACAATATTTCATTCAATTATTTATGTTTTATAATTATTTGCAGTTACATACATACATATGTACATGGGTTTCACATGGGTAAACAAACTCCCGCTGCGATGCACTCGGTTAACGGCATCGTATGGCTAGAATGTTTTAGACATATTTGGTCTTGCTAAACCCATGTAACACTTTATTATAACTAATGACGCGCACTTTATTGACTAAATGCACTTACCTGACTTTCGTAAACAATTAAAAACACTTTTTAAAACACAAAACAGATATAAACAAACGCTTCAAAAAAATTGCTGCCTTTCTCTATGAAAAAAATGAACCAATAACACTACTCGACAAAATCGAACTTTTTTTTTCCTCAAGGATCCAAACCGACTTTTTCTGATAGATATGGGGATTTAAAATTTTTTAAAGAATTATGGTTTTTTTTCTATGGCAGAACTTTTTTTTGAAGAATTTTTGAAGTCTGGTATTTTTTTTTAAAGCTTTTTTTAGAGGTAGCGCTTGTTTTTTTCACATAGCTCTAGTATCTTACGTCTGGTTGTAAAAAACTTTGCTATTTTGAAAAGATAATTAAAACAGCTAGAAGTTAAGCCCAAACACTTTGTGATTACAGCTTACCGTCTGGGAAATATAAAGCATTGAAATGCAAAAATGATGATTTTTGTGCGGTATTTTTTACGAAATTTTGACTTTAAAAACTCAGGAAAAGTCGTTTGGCGTCGTTTAAGGTATCGCTCATTAAAATCTATGGAGAGACTTTGGAGCTAAAATTCGTTAACCAAACCTAAAAAATGAAAAAAAATGAACAAAAAATACCTTTTCGATGGTTGCGGGCCCAACTGGGAATTGGGTATAATTTTTTTTCGACTTTTCCTGAGTTTTTAAAGTCAAAATTTCGTAAAAAATACCGCACAAAAATCATAATTTTTGCATTTCAATGCTTTATATTTCCCAGACGGTAAGCTGTAATCACAAAGTGTTTGGGCTTAACTTCTAGCTGTTTTAATTACCTTTTCGAAATAGCAAAGTTCTTTACAACCAGACGTAAGATACTAGAGCTATGTGAAAAAAACAGCGCTACCTCTGAAAAAAGCTTTAAGAAAAAATACCAGTTTTCAAAAATTCTTCAAAAAAAAGTTCTGCCATAGAAAAAATAAAAAAATATCATCAAACCATTTCTAAGCCCCAAATCTTTAAGAAAAAGTTCGTTTTGTTCCTTGAGGAAAAATCGTGTTGACTAGTGTAATCGGCTTTTCTCACCCCTTTCCCGCGGTTTCTTTTGTTTCATCTCTTCTTTGGCGCGTGCCAATGCATCAATACCCTTTCAATAAGGTACATTGATTTTTTATCAGCTAGGTAATATAGACATAAAAGTTGATAAACATGATTTTGTAAACTTATTTTTACATTTTTATAAAAGTTTTTTATTTAAACATGGTAACAATAAAATCTATATGAACAAATTTTATTTTTACTATGATTAAATAATAGACCATAATGAGAATGTAATTTTTACAAGGTTACCAAACAAATACCAATTAAACTATTATTTTTTATTTCCAAACATATCATTGCGCTCAAAATTGTAAACATTTAAAGAGTATACAAATTCGGTGGGTAAAAAAAAATTTCGGTTATTTTTTTTCCACTAACAAATTGCATTGACTCTGACAAAATAGAACGGTGAGAAGGAGACGAAATGAGCGAGAGTAGAAGAGTTAGGGTCGAATGCAGGTAGAGAAAACTAAAAATATGAGAGAGAGGGAAATCTATGGATATCTGCTTCTCTTTCTTACGAGTCAGCTTCGATCTCTAGCAGTTGAAGCTGGTCAGAATTTCATGCTGACGTCGACGTCGCTGCCTTTGCCGACGTCGAGCCCGAACAATTTTTCCTATGACACTTTCATGCCGTGACAGCCAGAACTGCAGGGACGTGACTTCAGGCGTCTCAAAATTATCAGCATACACACATACACAGCTCTTTAGTAGTTTTGATATTAGGAATTTAGTTTAAACGCGATTAAAAATACTTGGTGACAGGGCCCATAACCTGTTGGTTTATCTAATATTCTGAGTAATAATTAAGACGGTTTGTGTAATACTTTTAAATGTTTCTTTAATGTTCTTTTCGTATATATAGCCGAGGCTTGCATGCGCACAGTTCAGAGTCAGAGATAGAAGAGAACAATCAAACTAAAGAGATGGCCTATCGCCAATTCCACCTATCGATACATATCGATGAGATCTTTGTCTCTTTTGTATGTAACACACTGGTTACTTCAAAAGGTTCGTTGCCTCACAGACAAAAGAGAATGCACGGGTGGGTTTAATTACTGGCTATGGATAATTTATTGGTATTTTATACTTAGTGGATCTTACGTTCTATATAGGTTAGGTAAGGTTAGGTTGAGGCGGCTGTCGGGATCGTCAGAGACCCGACACACCGCATAGATCGTTCCCTCTTCTCTTGTGAAACACTACACTGCGATCCGTCTGGGACTGATTGTAGACATGTCCGAAATGTCAATTAGGAAAAGTGCGCCCAAGTATTGAAGTCTCCTTCTACTGAGAGCCGGACAGAAGCAGAACCGATGTTCCACAGTCTCCTCCTCGTCCTCATCTTTACAGCTCCAGAAGTCGTTATAGGGGGCACCCAGCCTGTTTGCATGGGTGCCTATTAGCCAATGTCCCGTAGTGGAGCGTATGACTGAACTGCACCTGCTCCTACTGAGTTTGCAAAGCTCATCGGTGCGCTTTCTAGTAATGTTAGGCCATGTTTGCCGAGTTATGCGACATAGTGGCACTGTTTGCCATCTGTCATTTATTAGTCGCTTAAAATGTTCTTTTATTTTGAGCTTGCAGGTGGCCATTGGCTTACGAATATCCTCCATATCGTGCAGAAGGGGGATTGTTGTTGTTAATATAGTTAGTAGGTTTGGTGCTTTCGAGCGATAGGACTGTCTCGATGTACCTGTGGTCGGAGAAGGAGTGGTCCTCTAGGACTCTCCAACTCTTCATTATGTCTGACAGTTTGTGAGACAATAGAGTGAGGTCAATAACCTCTTGACGGTTTTTTATAATGAATGTGGGGTCATTACCCCGATTACCAATAGCTAGGTTGGAGTTAAGGATGAAGCTGAAAAGTGACTCACCCCTTACATTTGTATCCGAGCTCCCCCATTGGGTGTGGTGAGCGTTGGCATCGCAGCCTCTTATTAGGCTTGTATCCGACCTTTCGCTGTCGCTGGCTATCTTGCGAACGAGGTCACTGGGAGGATCGCTTTCCTCGTGAGCCATGTAGGACGACACCAGGTTCAGGCGTGTCCCCTGTAGCTCTAGGTTAGCCGCCGTGTTGTCGCCATTGCAAAAATTGTGGAGCAGAAAGATATTTAGGTGCTTTCTTGCTAGAATGCAGGTTCAAATTTTACCTTCAGTTTGGGCTACAATCAGCTTGTAGTCCTTCGTCGCTAATCCACAGACCTTGCCTCCTACCACCCAAGGCTCTTGGATTAGGACTATGTCCCCTCCGCTCGCGACTAAGCGGAGTATTAGGGCAGCGGATGCTGCTTTACAGTGGTGGAGATTTATCTGCAGAAGCCTCAGAGACTTCATTAGAGTTGTTCTCCACCACTGTTATGTCGGCGTCAGAGTCGTCGAGAATTTCTTCACGACACAACGCCTCAAAATCGAGCATCAGCTCCGTCTCCGAGGAGTAGCTCTCCAGGGCCGGCTCCGGGTCTACGTCGGGTGCCTCGATCTCCGAGGCAATGTCCTGCTCAACTGGGTTGTTGACAGGACGCGCCTCGGCCGCTGCATCCGACTTGTGACCTTCATGGTCACCGAGCTGAACCCGAAGTTGAGCTCTCCCTTGGCTGCCTCGATCGGGGCTAGTGACTTCTTTTTTAGGATTATCACTTCCTGGTTAGTGGGGTCTTTCGATGCCTCCACTTTGACCACCTTCCAGTCTGAGGTTGGCAGTGTTGGGTTGCATCTCTGCAACATCCTGAGGATCCGCTCGGGCTTCTAAAAGTGGCCGGCACCCATATGCGAGCCCTTGGTCTACTGGGCACCTCGCTACAGTCCACAGCGACGAGCTTCGCCCCAGCGTAGACTTCTCCGATTTGCGCCACCGCAGCTTTGTAGAGATTCACGGATCGCTCATCTTCGCAGGCTACCACTTTGATGCTTCCCTGGAACCATCCCATGTCTTTGCAGACTGGAGGTGGCCCGGGATCCTTCTCGAGAAGCTCGAAGCAGCGGTCGGCCAGTGCCGCTTCCACCCACTTCCATTGGCTTCTAGGTATTTTCCCCTCCGCGCTGCCGTTGTCGAGAACGCCTATCAGCGTCCCCTCTTTGGCAATATGAGCGAAGGATACGTTCGGTAGCACTCTGGAGCGCTTCGCGGCAGGTCCGGGCGACTCTTGCGAGCGCTGCCTTTTCGGTTGTGCAGCCACCTTCTGTGGCTCCACATTGAAGTTGGGCAGCACCGCCGAGGCCCATTCCACCTTTTTCAGCCAGTCTGCTGTTGGACTGACTTCTTTGCTGACGTTCTGCCGACGGAGTATGTGCCCAGCACTCCTCTTTTCGGCATAGCTGAATTTTTTGGCTTGGACACTGGTTGATGGCAAGCCATCACCCGCCGCTTCACCGGAAGGTTGAGCAGCCGCAATATTGCTTAGCTGCCCTACCATGGTATCAGTTTTGGGTGTTGGCTTTCCACCCATCCCAGATTTGGGATGGGACCCACCCGGGTTCATACCTGCGTCTTCCACCGTGCAGGTCTTTTCTGCATCTGAGCGGATCGGGCCAGGCCTTTGGGCCGCTGCCTTCTCCCGCTTGGGATTGCTCCCAGCCGGCACTTGGGGAGTGCCTCTCTCGTTTTTTTTGTTTATGTTTTTGCATTTTTTGTATTTATCCATATGATTCCCACGAGCTGCAAAGAAGGGGAACGGTCCACCCCGGCAGAGCTCTACTTTACCCGGGTAAGGCATAATTAGAACAGGGGGCTGCCAAGTCCCTGAGCTCTCCGTTCACGACTGGGCTAGTTTTGTACCGGGCCCCCAGCCAGGCTGACTCTTGGCACGGGTCGAGTGACACCTTAGTCCGGCCCGGTGTGAGGTGAGTGTTGGGGCTGGGATGTGGGTAGGTAATGTGTAGGGATGGGAGTGTGTGAGCTACTTAATGAGAGGCGGCACCACAAGCGCATCGTCAGTGTTGCTGCGTCGCGAACACCCGCTGGCTGTCCGGGACT